ATGATGTTACACAAATTAACAACACAACAAATTAGAAATAGCTTATTACTTTTAAATTAGAATAGCGATCACTTCATTTCCAGGGGTTATTATCATCCATAAATTCCTTAATATTTTAATAACCCTTTTTATACAAACTTAGTTTAATAAAGTTTTTGAACTTTGAACAGGTCAAACTTTGTATATTTTCTGGAATTTTGTTGTAAAAGCGTATGCATCGCCCCAAGAATGAATTACTGACTCGATGGAGTCGAGTAACTGGTACTACTAGCTTGTGTCTGTTCCTAGTATTTACAGAATGGATATCACTTATTTTTGTAAAACTACTTTTATTTTTGTGTACGTACATTACATTTTCATAAATGTAGTGAGAGGCCAAAGTTAATATATTAATTTCCTTAAATTTTTGTCGCAGCGACTCTTTAGGCTTTAAATCATAAATTGCTCTTATGGCCCTCTTCTGCAAAACATATATAATTTCAGTGTCAGCTGCGTGTCCCCATAGCAAAATACCATACGACATTATGCTATGGAAGTAGCTGAAGTAAACTAGTCTAGCTGTTTCAACACTGGTTAGACTTCTAATCTTTTTTACAGCATATGCTGCAGAACTAAGTCTGCTTGCTAGTTTTGATATATGGGGGCTCCATTGGAGGCCCAGCCAAATCCTGCCCTAAACGAAAATTGACTCAGAAAAAGTTACTTGTGAGTGTTTGGTAGACTAGCGCCGGTGTCGTTCACTACAGCTTTCTAAAATCTGGCCAAACGATTACGGCAGATATCTATTGTCAGCAACTGCAAACCATGAAGGAAGAACTAGCTGCTAAACAACTGAGATTGGTCAATCGCTCTAGGCCACTGCTGCTTCACGACAACGTAAGACCACACACTGCGCAACAAGCAACCACAAGTTACCAGCTAGCTACCATTGGAATGTCTGCGATCCACCGTACTCCCCGGACCTTGCTTCAACAGATTACAATTTTTTCCAGAATTTGGGCAACTTCTTACAAGGAAAAACATTCAACTACGATGCGGCAGTCCAAACCGTCTTCAAAGAGTTTATTGATTCTCGCCCCCATGGTGTTTTTAGTAAAGGGCTCAATAAACTACCTATGAGATGGCAGAAGTGCATAGATAACAACGGTGCATACTTTGATTAATTAAATATATTTTACAAAAAAAATGACTTTATATTCCTCCTGTACAAAACGCCAATTTCATATGTAAGGACCTAATAGTTAAAAACTGAACCAACCGAAAATGGCCCACTATCTACTGTCTGGTAGTAATTTTATTTTTCTTACACTACATAACATACTATAATAATATAACACCATCTATTATAGATTCATGAAACTCTGTAGAGAGTCACGGATCTTTTTTGTTGCTTATATGATTAAGAGATGTCGTTGTTCCATACTTCCATAATAACAAATAAAAAAATATTCTGTTGAAATAACGTTAAAAATCTATAATAGAATATAGCTGATCCATAGACTATAACTGATCAAAACACTTTATATCAAAATAACCAACAGATAAAATCGCGTTGTGATAAACCTAGCCGGAATTGCTTTTTTATTGAATAGTATTATCACAGTTTAAAGAGAGTCTAAATTTAAACGGTAGTATTATGTTTAATTGGTATGTTTGTTTTTATTTCATGTTTTAGTAAATAAATTTACTTTAGAATATAATTTGTAAATATTTGTGTACAATGCAAAGTGCCTAAACTTGGACAAGTTTAGAACAATTTTAGTGCAGTAAATGAAGGTGAGAAAACATTTGTGCAATTCACATGTATTAGAAGTGAATTCATCAGAAATTAATTACTGATAATCTTAATCTCTAAATTTTAAATTCTTAATCTTTAAAGATCTTAATTGTAATAGCGTAAAATATACTTCATTGAAAGTCATTTTAACGAACAAAAATAAACTGATTCTCAAGGTAGTACGTAAAATAAACGCTAGATGGCCTAAACACGACTAAATTAATTTTAATGGTAAGTTATGAAATCGAGGATTTTCTAGTTTCTGTGATGTTAATGCTGTTAGCCTATGCGGCTCTCACAGCTTCATGGAACTTCCCCCCCCCCCCCCCGCCTTTTTTTAAAGGCGGGGAGATTATTAATTTTAGTGCAACGTTGCGGAAGCGACGTTGCACTAAAATCGATAATCTTGGGGGGGGGGGAGGGTAGGATAATATTGTGTTCAGTTCTGTGATCACATTAACATAACATGTCTGAGTTATCTAACGGCCGTCTGAACAGGGGGTGGCGTGCCCCGACTCTGACGCCTAAAGGTGGGATGCCACGGCCTGCCAAGCGACAGGCCGCGCCAGGCGTTGCCCCGCCTGAATGAGCCTGTCGCGGCCCGTACTGAGCATTTCCCCGGCAACCGACGCAGACGCGTCCGTATAGGCCGCGACAGGCGCCGTCGCACGCCACCGCGCCGCGCCTTTGAACTAACCGACTCCCGATGGATCGGACGGGCGACAACAGGCCACCGCAGGCCTCATCGGATGCGATGGTTCCCACGGCCTGTTGGTCTGGCCTGGCGCGGTCTGATCTATGAGAAAGCAGGCCGTAGGACCCTAGCTTTACTCGTATCGTTCGATGTTCAGGACGGTGAGAACCGCCCAGGGATGTCTCGTGGATTGTTATGAATGTATTGGTTAAGATAATTTTATTTGATATAGTTAATTTTAGTTAATTTTTTAACTGTTTATTTAATAGTATATAATCTATGAAGCACCGCACAAAGATGAGACAGAGATAATAGGAAACTATTAATTAAGTATATTCTATCTAATACTCTCGCAGGGTATATCCTATAGATGTATAATATATTTGTCTCTTTTTAGTGTCGCTTTTTCGTTTCATCGAGTTTTAAATCACAAAGATTTTTAATAATTTCAGTTTCAGTAAGCGATTATAAATATATTCCTTAACAATTATAACTATTTAAAAAATACAAAATCAATATAATATGTAAAACAAAAAACAGTAATACCACATGAGTAAAGAAACCGTACCATACAGAGGCAAAGCTTCATACAACTGCGCTATGATAGGTACACTACTACAAGCTTGAGGCGCGTGTGTGCGTGAGCACTTGCGGGCTCGTCACGTACAGAGAGAAACTGCTTTAAACCGGCTCAGCCAGTGCTCAAACTCAGGGTTATGTAAAAAATTAAAAGTGTCAAGAATAATTCGTATCAAATGAAATATAAAAAAGTGTAAATATGGATTACTAATACCTACGTAGATTCAAATCTTGTCGTGTTTACCGCAAAAGATACCACTGATTTTGGAAAAAAATTAATAACTTATTTCATTTATTAAGCTCAAGTACACTGCGATCTTCATATAATTATAAAACTACATTTTGATGCGATAGTTATCAGATTGAGTTTATAGAAGAAATGCCAACATTTTTCAGGAACTTAAAAGTAATAAGAAGTGATCGGCGGAGAACTTTACAAATGGCATGAATTTCATTCACGGATTTCAAGTGTCTATAAAATCTTTAACAAAACTTCATGAAGAATTAAAATCAGAAGAAATTTAATAAATTTATATTAAAGAGACGTCTTAATCAAGATTTTCTCGAAAAATTCTTTGGCAAAATCAGACAGGTGGGTGGTAACTGCCTAAAAACCGCAAAATACTAATAGCGAATACGATTTCGATATGTTACTTGTGAAACCAGGCGATTGTCGTATTTTTAATACACCATCACCGCAACCTGACGATGTTACGGCCCCAATGTTAACAGTAGGAACAAATAATTATCGATTTGAATTAACAGGAAAAACTGATTTTGCCTATGTCGGGATGTTTGTATAGAAAATGTCTCAAACATCACAAATGTGAGAAAATAAAATTGTACGTTAATTAGATCTGAACAACCTATAATATGGGAAAAGATTCTTTTTTTTTCAGCCACTTAATAAAGATTTTTTTTATAGGAGAGGGGGCAAACGAGCATGCGGCTCACCTGATGGAAGTGACTACCGCCGCCTATGAACAACTGCAACACCAGGGAGGGAATTGCAGAAAATATTATAATTGCAGTGTATATAATAAAGATAGTGTAGTGGATTTTAAATAAAGATAGTGTTCCATCGGGGTTTTTTAATAATACTTCCTGACAATTCTATTGCGTTAGTTGAATTGCTTGAGCAATATGTTTTGACCTTGAAGGTAACATTGCATATATTGGTATTGAAATATTAAAATGTGTGCAAGATTGTATTTTTGTTATGCTATGTGCGTGCTTTCCTCATAGCTTATTTAAAAAAAAACATTACAGCTATATTAGTAGTATACACGAATAATAGCACGAATGGGTCGGCTCGACCGGGGAATGACCACGATCTCACAGAATACCAGCGTAAAATAGCAGCTTAATGCTGCTGTGTTTCGTATGGTGAGTGTAGAGAACCGGAGACCCTTTTTACTGGAAAAGAGGCATTCCATATTTGTCCTCACCGGTAAAAACGCATCTGCATTTTGATTCTTTATTGAGGATAGATGTGGATGTCTATGGGTCACAGCAACCACTTACCATCAGGTGGGCTGTGTGCTCGTTTATCACCCTATTCTATAAAAAAAAACATTTAAATAAAAGCCACAACAAATTGTCGAAGAACAATAATTATAAAAGTAAAATATTCAGAATACGTGGTTTGTAAAAAAAAATATTCTATCATAAGTATCTATTAAAAAGCTGATAAACGTTTTGGTTTTTTTATTTTACCTGTGCCAACCCTATTAAAATAGGTAAAAATTTTGACAGCTCCTTAGAAGCTTTGCCTCTGTACAGTTTCTTTTCTCATGAGGTAAAACTGATATAAATAACTTTTAAATATAATGCGCTTTTTGTTTATAAAATAACTGCTATAACTTAGTTGATCGTCGTGATTATTCTCTTTGGTACCGGCCGCCGGCCGGCTGTCAAGTGAAAATAAATTAATGAACTGTCAGTGTCATTGTCATTCTCACACCAACGGTCGACGAGGGTGCCGATTTTTAAGTTCCCGTACCACGTTTGAATTTAAAGTAAGTAACTGTTATTACTTTAATTCCTACCTATATAACTTATTTTTAATACCATCAATCTTTTTCCTGTCTGTTAAATTTTTAGAAGGATGATTACTTTGCTTATGAGACTCGCTTTTGTCGAGAAGATTCATCTAGAAATCCGTGAAGCTGTAACGCTTTGTCTAACGTTAACCGTGGCAGTGGCACACTTCAGTAACGTTTTTCCGATTGCTGTAAAAACCATCAAATTATATTACAAAACGACGCAATTTCATATTGTTGCGCAAGAGGGTACCCTCTCTAAAACTACTACGATTATAAATTCCACGCGCATCTAAAGATGTTGCTTATCCTTTATCAGTTTTTTTTTGTCCATGGCGCAAAGCACGATGTTTTACGTTACATTGTACAACAGTCATAAAATATTTTTTTCTTATGTAGCCTTGGCTATAAAAGTTTTATTTTTATTTAATATAGGTATATTAATTGTTAGATATAAAATTTCAAGGCTATACTTGCGACCAATTTTCATCCTTTATCAAGTGTCGACAATTGATTTTGTCGTTCCTTATCAATTAAAGGTTAAATGATGGCAGAAGTACATAGGAAAAGAGTTCGGAGTGAAACCGATGATGAAATCGATGGAAATGTAGCGAAAAAATTACTTTTAGACAGGTATGTCAGTGCTTTGTAGGTTCAAGCATGATTAAAAAAATTATACTTGGTGATGGGGCAGTATGTATTTTTATGAGTAGGTTGTATGAAGATTAAAACTTGATAAAAAGTAAATGCTTCATGGAACTAAGAAGAATATTGTATAGAAGAGTTTGAGGCCCCAACTTCAGAATGTGAAAATCTTTTCTTTTTATTTCTTTGAAGTATGTTTTTACATTTATTTAGTTTAATTTTTTGACCCTTTAGGACTATAAATTACAAGCCCAAGTGAACAACTCAAATGTTGTCTAAATAGTTACATTAAACTGCATCCACTTTTTTCCATCTTTAAGGGCAAACTGAACTACAGTAGAATCCGTTTATTATGACTCTGCTTATATTGACCAACCGCTTATTATGACGTAATTACCAGCGAAGTTTGGTTTTCATACAAAATTCTTTATAATAAAGTTGGATATAATGACTTCGCTTATAGTGACATGTCGCTTATTGTGACACCCATTTTTACTAAATTGTGTCCGGTTATAGTGATCGACATTAAGCCCAACACCTTCGGCAGTGTTCAGGAGAGTCAATTGATACCCAACGACGTTCGGTGCGTGCATGGCTTTATTTTTTGTTTAGAGTCTCAGTGGGTAATTGATTCTTGAAGGTCACGGGATTGTTTGTTAGTGATTTGTGAAAAAAATGAAATCTCAACGTCAGTGCACATGCAGTTTAGAAAATGGAGAATCCATTTCTTCTCTCGCAAGGGAATTTGGGGTTGATCACTCTACAATCTCAGTGATATTTAAAAACAAGAATTTATTATTAAGAATTTAAGTTACTTTAATTAAAGATTTTTCTCTACAAAATTCTTATTATGACGTCCTCTTAGTATGACGTGTTTATTTCCCTTCGATGTCATTATAAACGGATTCCACTGTATAATCAATTTAATAAAAAATAATCTTCATAATAGTAAAAATACACAAAAACATACATACAGTTGAATTGAGAACCATTTTTTTTTTAGTTTTTTAGTGGCCTTAAGTTTGCTAAAAAAACTAAACGCTACAAAAGTAGATGTTGAAGTGTCTACAATAATCATAAATTTATTAGGTGATAATGACTGTGAAACCTCTTGAAGGTCACAACTGTGACCTTTAGAACTTATCTAAATGGCTTTTGTTAGACAATGTATAATGTAGTCATGGTGTTTTTACAATAACCCATTAGAAGCTTTAACTTTCAGTAAAAATTTAATATTGATTTTACTGAAGTTTGTGACTTGATATTGCATCATTTTATGAGTCACGTGTTGTGGACTTTGATCATATTTTTGTTATAATATTAATAATCTCTTTATTTCTACAAACAAGGACTATATTACATAATTAGTATAATTAGATGATGACATGGCTTATTGTTAGAAATAAATAAGAGAATAAATAAATTCTTGGTTACAGTTGACTTCTGATTATTTATTTGTCAGTACATGAACACAACACAACAATGGTATTGTCTTGTCTTACTTAAAGCAGTCGACTCTTCAATGTTATAATCTTTAAATCCATTACTTGAGGCACTCTTAACATAATTGTCTAAAGATGCTGCTCTATTATCATTGTTAATTACAGCGCATGAGATAACTTTACTGACTGAATGAAATACTGATTAAGTTCTTCATATTGTGTTATCATCTCTCTAAACAGCTTATCAATTACATGAGCGATGCTAATATAATTAAGTACTCCTAGTGACAATTTTAAATAAAGGATGGTTCAATTCTTTTTATTTTGTATTGTTGTTGTATACATTGGGATTTTTATTATAGAAAATAGTTCAAAACAAGAACATTGAGTATTAATAAATAGCAATATTATTATTACAATCACATTGTAATATTATTTCATTAAATGTACAATGAATTAATAATGAGATCATAAAACCATTATTTATACCTATTTCCCACTTAATTACTAAAACTCTAATATTTTTTTTTGTTTTTGGTGCTAAAAAGATGCTAGGAGATGGTTCGCAAAAGTTATGAAATGGCAGCTTAAACCTAAAATATTTTCATAGTCTGTACATTAAACCCTGACTACTGTCACTTAATGCATAATTGTCTATACAGGGTCATTTTGTAATAACTGGCCAAATTTGCAGACTGACAAAATAAGTAATATAGGCAAATGGTGAAGAATTATTTATTAAACAAAATCTCAATAATTCCATCCTTTATATCTTTTAAATTCAAAATGTGTGATAATGCATTATTTTAACTGATTTTACTGCTCATGCTCACATTCGATCAGTAGGCAAAAATGTTGTTGCTCATAAATCACATTCAATTTGGGATAATTTCAAATAAAAGTAGAAGCCTTATTTACTCATATTTTCAAAAACTGCAATAATGATATAGTACCATTATATATTTGAACTTAAGTTTAAAATTTATTTATTCTTTGAAAAACAACCCTGTATATAGAAAAATATTTGCATAAAAAGTGAAACAAAAGAAAAGATTTCCTTTTATTTCATTTCATTTAAAATCAAAGAAAGATTTTAGGATTAACATTAATATTTGCCATAATATGTATGAATTAGACACCTGTTTTAAATTATGTCATCATCAGGGTATATCAAGGGTAAGAACTGTAAATATAAAAGCACTAAGTGCTATATACACTTAAATCTCACTATCACTCCATCTAGTGTAGAGGTCCGAACACTTACCAGTACAAAGCTGCCGCTCAAGAAACTTTCTTCCGCACAAGTAAACGGGTCTTACCAATCACTTGTTTGTTCTTTAATCTATCTGGCTGACCCATTGTCGCTTCTGCTGACTGAGCATGTCATTCTTGGTAGGCAGGCTTAATGATCACTGTGTTAGAGAACAAACATAATTGTTGCAAGTAATTATATGTTGATATTGACAAATGTTTAAGTTGTATGCTATTAGTGTTAATGAAATCACACATAATATATAATGGAACAAATGATGTCAAGAGGGAGATGATCATAAACTGAAGAAAGTTTGGGACTGTTAAAAAACATGGTTGGTGGTCCCTCTCTAACCCACATTGGCAGTGGAACTAAATGTACTTATAGATACTCTTACATATTCAAGGTAAATTATGGTGAATGCAAAAGAAAGAAAAACATTAATAAATTATTTAAATAAAATGTATAGTATAAAAAAAAATTAAACACAAAATTATGATTGGACACTCATATTCTTAAAAAAAAAACATTGAAATAAAACTAACTTTACGGATTTTATTGTGTTTGATTTAATTTAACGTGATAAAATCTGTAAAAATCACATCATCAGCATGACATGATAAGTTTTATTCAATGTCTGGTATTTATGTGATATAAAAAATAATTATCTTAAACATTTATTAAGAATTATATAAACTCTTCTCTTTGTACACCCAATGTTGTTCATTTATTATTACTATCATATCCATCCACTGCTGAACTTGGACCTACCTGTAGATTGCCGCGTAGGGGGGATATTTGTCATAGTTGCAAATACTTTATTCAAAGTGCATTTTTATTTACTGGATTAATAATTTAATAAATAAAGTGCGTTTAAGGATAAATTAAAGCGATTTTTTAATTATTGAATAAGCTTTTGAAAAATATAACAAGATATACATTATAGTGCAACCCCGTCAAGTATCACCTCTTCCATTAGTCCACTTCAAAAAATGAAGGTTCTCAATTCAACTATATTATGTTATTGATATATTATGTTACCAATTGTAAACTGAGTGAACCAATTTTAATTATTTTTTTAATAAGTAATATTAATAATAAGTTATACTACAGAAGTAAACTACTAACAAAAATTCAACCCCAAATGTGTTAAGATAGGGGATGAAGTTTTTAATGTAACTGTTTACACATAGCAGTTGTGATTTTGAGCTTGCGATGATGATTAATACCCTAATCTGCTTAAATGAGTAAAAATATCACAATAAAATTATTTTGTTCTTTTTAGTTGATTACTGCTTCAACTTTTTATTAAAAGTTCATAAATACACTATTATACTATGCAAAATTTTGTCTTGAATTTCATTAGAGAATATTGTGTTATAGTGACTGGCGAACTCAAATATCATCATAGGCCACGTCACTACATCTTGTGGGGGATCACCCTACACTTCGCTTACCGAACTCAATTATATAAATAAAAAAAATATAATATTAGGTTTTTAAATTAGGATATTTATTCTCACAGCTTAACAAATTGTGAAGTGTGAATTGGGGATAATGTCAATGGACCACAAGTGCTTTTGCCGAGGTGATGAGGTTACAAGTTTGGACCTTGATAAGCCTGAACATCTTTTGCC